TAAGTTAGTAACCTGGTTAAGCGACTCTGGCTTCCTCATCCGATTTGTCAGAAGGTCGTAAAATGTGATCCCGTGACCCCAGGATGCTGCGACGGTCATAAATGTGAGTCAGTTGCCAAGGGTCTGAATTTTGACCACGTGACCGCAGGGATGCTGCAATATTCGTAAGTGTGGAAAACAGTCAGAAGTCACTTTCATCAGTGCCGTTGTAACTTTGAACTGTCGCTAAACGAATGGTCGTAAGTGGAGGACTATGTATGTAACACTGCTTCGTGTGATACGTGCTCATCGCTCGTTTTTTTTTACTTCCCTGTTACTCTAGAGTCGAAACTATGGGACTGGCTGGCCCGGGCAAAGTCGCGCTTATCTTCTGTGGTGGAGGAGAAGGAAGAGGAGGAAGAGCGGGTGTCGTTGCGGGAATTAAGGCCGTAGGGAGGGAGGGAGGGAGGGGCGGCACCTCAGCAACGAATGGACTGGCCTCAACTGCTCTTCGATGGAAACAGAAGATGGAACTGGGTGCCTTTGGGCTGAGCTGACCCACTTAATGGAGGAAGAATTCCCTGTGCGCCTCAGTTAAAGCAGATCATAAAGTTATCTGAGAGTGAAACACCCAGCAGTTTAGCCCAGTATCCTCCTCCTCCTACTTCTCCTTCTCCTCCTCCTCCTCTTCTTCTTCCTCCTCCTCCTCCTTCTCCTTCTCCTCCTTCTCCTTGTCCATCTCCTCCTTCTCCTTGTCCTTCTCCTCTTCCTCTTCCTCCTTCTCCTCCTCTCTCCTCCTCCTCCTCTCTTATATTTCTCCTCCTTCTCCTCCTCCTCCTTGTCCTCCTTCTCTTCCACCACCTCCTTTTCCTCCTTCTCCTTGTCCTTCTCCCTCCTCCTCCTTCTCCTCCTCTCTTCTCCTCCTCTTTCACCTTCTCCTTCTCCTCCTCCACCTCCTCCTTCTCCTCCTCTCTTCTCCTCCTCCTCTCTCCTCCTCCTCCTCCTCCTCCTTGTCCTCCTTCTCCTCCTCCATCTCCTTCTCCTCCTCTTTCTCTTCCTCCTAGTCCTCCTTCTTCCTCCTCCTTCTTCTCCTTGTCCTCCTTCTTCTCCTTGTCCTCCTTCTCCTCCTCCTCCTTGTCCTTGTGGAACAACCTGCCTCCAGACATTGTGGGTGCTCCATCACTGGAGGCTTTTAAGAAGAGAATGGACAGCCGGCTTCCAGTTTGAGATTGCGGTGCTGGCGGACGTACGGGGCGATCGCTCTCTCCGCCGTCTGGTTTTCTCCCACCGGGGGACCCTGAAAAGGGTTGGAAGTCGCCCTGGAGAGGCGACGAGTGTGAAGAGGACCCCCGAGTGAACACAGAAGGATGGCAGCCCTCCCGTTTGATCCAGGGCAGCTCTTTGAACTGACGGGGGAAAGATCGGCCATTAACATGGCCCATCACTAAGCTGCTACCAGCCAAGGCCAAAATTACTAACAAGCACCGAAAGCACCACAGAGGAATTGGGTGAGATCTTACCTTCTTTGTACCCCAAGTACTTTCCTGTAAAAAGCTTCTTGAAATTTCTTCTCCTTGTGAAGAGAGTGTCATGTGTCTGATTAACGAAACACTTAAAAGAACTTTCAGGCATTTTTTTAACCTAAAAGCCTTTATTAAGGTTACAGAGATGTCAGTATGGCATGGTGGATGCTAAGATCCGATGCTGCTGCTGACGTGGTGCCCCCAGTTGCTGTTGGCCCCATCCTGCCTGCATCGAGGGAAGGGAACGTCTTCCTCCTGTCCTCTAAAATGGTGGCGTCAGACTACCTAGGGGACATAAAGCCTTGAAAAGAACAACTAAATAATTGGATTTGCATCTTCTTGATATTTGGGGACCCAAAAAGTTCCTACTCTTATGGGGATCTGTTACCTTATCTACTTGTAAAAAAGATGAAAAAGAACTTAAATTGGATAAAAATCTAGCCTGGTTTTGAAAAAGATTTTAAATGCTATCGGGGACATCTTGTGACGAAGCTCGGTACAGCAAGTGAATATTCTTGACAAAGAGACCTGCTTACAGCCCAGATCTGTCCTTGGTATTATCTAAAAGAGATAAAAAGCTGAGAGAACAGCTGGGTGGTGAAATTGGTTTTCAGTAATTGTGGAGGTGAACACTTACTGACTCTTGTTTCAAAAATAGCCTCCACTAAAGGACCATTTATAACTATCTCAGAAATGGAGGAGGACCAGCAACAAATTTCAGCTAACTATAAACTTATACTTGAAAAAATTCTTGAAGCTACTGAGGTAATCAAATCTCAACTGAAAGACAAAGGCGCCAGCTTAAACCTACAAAGCGAAACCCTGATCGCAACTGAAGAACTTACAATTCAAAAAACAACAGAAGCGGAAGAAAGTAATTCCAAGACAGAGGACTTTAAAGAACAACAACTACAATGTACTGAAAAATTAGACAACCAAACCCTGATTGCAACTAAAGAACCTACAAACCAAAGAACAACAGAAGTGGAAGAAAGTAATACCAAGATGGAGGGTGTTAAAGATCAACAAGTACAGCTTACTGAAAACCTAGATAATCAGACAAGAACCATAAAATTGGACATGACTTTTTACTTAAATCAGAAGAAACCTGAGGAAAAAGAAGACCAGATCGAATTGAAGATAAACATACCAGAGCAAATATGGGGATTTGAGCCACCAGGGCCTGGTTGGCATAAAAAGAAAGCTAGAGTTAGATTTAAAAAATGGGGTCTTTTGATTTATTAGAGAGGATCCTAAAATCTCAACTAGTGGGCTAAAGGGAGATTTTGAAATGAAGGGAAATATGAGTATTAGATTTAAATATTGTGGGGAAATGATAAAAAATAAGGGATTAATTGGCTTAATATTGAGGATTTAGATTTATAAGGGAAATGAAAATTAACTATTAGGAAATAGCTTTGAATTATTGTTTAGCCCAGATAATACAGATGATGGATTTGAGACAATAAAGGATACTCCATTAGTAAGTGGTGATGTACTAACTAATATGAGAAATAGAAAATGTTTATGAAATAAAATAAGAATATATTTCAGTAAGTAATATGTGTATTTTAGATATTATAACTTTTACGTAGTGAAAGAAAGGAAATTTGGGATACCCGAAGCTTAAATACTATGGATATTAAAGGTTAAATTGGAATGCTGCAATTAAAAGTTAAAAATTAGATAAAACTTAAAAACAGGATATGGATATGTATAAGCAAAAATATATCGATAAATGTTTTAACTGTGCTTGTTATAGTTAGAAATTTACTAGCTTAAATATGATATAGCAAATCTTAAGGGAAACAGAGAAGGAATTTTTGATGATGTAACCTGAGATATGTACTAAAGCTTTTGTTATTGAACTATTGACTGCCGAATCACCACGCTGCTTTCCAAATACTCAAATGTAAAACTGGAAAACCAATAAAAACCTGTTATAAAAAAAGAGAAGAGAATGGAAAGTCATTGGTTTAAAATGTTATTATTCTTGTGCCATATCTGTTATCGGACGTTGGCGATCATGTTGGCGATCCTGTTTTTATCAGCAGCCACACGAAAAAGTGCTGCTGAGTTTTGTCCAAACCAGTCCCTTAGATTTTGAAGCCATGATGTTCTTCTTCTGCCTGGACCTCGTTTGTCTTCAATCTTTCCCTGGAGGATTAAATGGAGTATGCCGTATTTTCCTGGGTGTCGCATCCCATGTGGAGGGAAGTTTGTAGTGGGGTGCCCCAGGGCTCTGTTCTGGGCCCAGTGCTCTTCAACATCTTCATCAACGATCTGGACGAGGGGATAGATGGGGAACTCATCAAATTTGCAGATGACACCAAGCTGGCAGGAATAGCCAACACTCCAGAAGACAGGCTTAGGATACAGGAGGACCTGGACAGACTTGAACACTGGG